TACACACATACATAAAGTATGTATATATATATATATAAATGATATATAAATGATATGATACAATAAAATACAACACACTAGGTCTTACCCTAAAGAATCAGCAAGAGGATGTAAAGTTGTCTCTGACATCATCACATGACAGGCAAAGCGCTGCTGGTCAGGGTGTTTGGTGATGAAACCAAAGTAACTGCAGTACAATAACAAGCATTACAGAAAGTGTTACTTACAAATATATTACTGAGGCAGCCTGCTGTAGTAAACCATGTATTCAAGCAAGGAGGTAGTGATAACAAAATTAGCACTAGCGATAAAAGTCACCATATCTACTTTTAGGTGAAATACAGTCAGTAAAAAAAATCTTTAAGCTTAAATTTGTGCATTTTACATCATTATTAAGTTGTAATGCCACTAGACATGTTGTGAGAAAAGGTACAATTTAACATAGTTTAGTGTCTTAATGATTATCACTTCTTATTTTTGACTATCCTGTCGTTACAGATCCAGCCACCTCCACTTGCCTTGCTCTAACCCCAGTGTTCCCACCACTCTTATCACTTCACCATCTGCCGTCTCAGTCTCAGTCATGTATATCTACTTCCCCAGCCACATTCACTCGCCAGTTGCTAGATTGTGCATCTACTTGAACCCTCCAGCCTTCTCATTCTGCTTGACTGATTCCAGCATTTTCACCTCTCTGCCTGCTTCTTCTGCCCTGATTTAGTGCCTAATATATTCGATCAGCTTGCCCTCCTTTGTTTGCTTGCCTGATTTTGAGTGGACTGCCCTCTTTACCAGTCTATGTCTGAGTTGTGCTTTTGGTTCCTCTTCTGCTATTACTGAGCCTTCACTGTTTAATATACGTCTCATGCAAGTGTGGGAATTGATTATATCAAGTAATTCCTCATGTAGTTCAACTCACTTGTTGTATTTTGGATGGCAGCCACAGAAGGAGATGTTCTTCAACTGGAAAAAATGGAAACACTGGTCCCCCTGTCAAAGAAAGAATCATCAGACAGAAATGGAAAGTCTGAATGTGTGAGACTCAAAGAGGAAGGCAGTTAGATAGTGTAAATATGTAGTTAGATTTTAGTGCATGTACCCTGTGAGCAGAGTGGCACTGATCCTGGACACTGATCTTCACACCCCTCACACTGACCTCCAGCACACAAACTGAAGGAGGCTGACCTGTTGACCGCCTGTTACATGCTACCTGTTAACACAAATAGTTAGTCAACAAATAAACCTACTTTTGACAAGATATTTTGACTGGTTTTAGTGTTAGACCAGTCCTAGGTTTGGTTTATGCTCAATCAAAGTGAGTTCAAACTACTTTTTGTCTGGTAATACTGGGAAAGACAAATGTTTACAATGGTCCTGAATGGCCACACTGGAAAGTGGCATGAAAAGCCAGCTGTTAGAGAGAGGGGAGATGCAACATTGTTTAAATACTGGGAAATAAGGTTCAGAAGTCTACATTTTCAATAGTATCTCCTGGAAAACATAGATAATGTTGCATTGGGTTTTGTACATTAAAAGTAGTTGTGAAAAGAAAGAAAAAAGAGCTAGAAAGAGAAGTTCAAAGCCTGGCTCCTTTCACCTCCACACAAGCTGATTGTTGGGTTCATAAGATTACAGCAATGGTTGGACACTTCCTCTAAAAAGGTGTGGATGGAGGGGATTACTGAAGTTCTTCAACTATCTGATAAGCTGTTCTGAACGACTGCACTTGCTTCTTAAATTGTAAGTTACATGGTTTCATGGGAATAAAGACTAAAACTGGCCTAAAAAGGCCTAGAAGGTTAACCACCCAACACTCAGGTTAACTTAAGTAAAAGCCATGTTTCCATGTTTGGGGATCCTTCCAGTGGCCAAGGGGGCCCTTTGCAGGTGCTAAGTTTGCTTATCAGTCTGTTAAATGTGATGTAACATACCACTTCTGGGTCCCGGTTCCCCCAGACCCTACTGGTGGACATTGTCCTCCTCTACACAATAACAGTTTCTTTTGTGAGGCATCACTGAGGGTAAAAAAAAGAGACAGCTTTTTGATTCAAATAGTCAGTGTTGTTGTTCTGCCTGGTGGCATAATATTAAAATTTTATTACATGTAGTACTAAATTTATTCCAGTATATAGCCTAACTAACCCCTTTTTATTAGTTTCCAACTTTTGTTGTTACTTTCATCGGTGTAAACCGTGTCAGTGTGTAATGTTTATGTTAACTTCGTGGTAACTAGCTAGCTACATTACAAGGTGGCAAAACGATGCCTTTTATAAGTTTTATTTCATTAAATTAAAAATACTATGAGTTGTCTAATCAACTGTATCCATTTCTTTTTCTCCTTCTCATCACAAGAAAAGTGATAAAATGGCAGCTGACCTGTTTTGATTCAGATCTATGGGTATAATGGGGGAAAAATACTATGACATTGTTAAGTCTTCAGCTGTGAGACACTCCCCTCCCCAACCTGACAATTATGACAAGCAATCAGGTGTGCTCGCCAGCACAGGTGCAAGCTATTGACACCACATTTAACCAGAGATTTTTGGAGAGGTGGGAACAATCCATTAGACTTTGGTGCTGATCCGGATCATTAGATTAGATTAGATCATCATCCAGATCCAGGAATATTTTAAACTAAACTTTTAAACACTCAGGGAATGCAAACCTCAACTCAGTTGTCCCATAATGCCATAAAAGCAATGCTCCCATGATAGTTTGGCCCTCAAATGATTGCTTGACCATGAAAACCTGCTGCTCAAATTTGGAATCTTGCTGGCATCATTGGTACCCAGATACTGATATCAATATCTGGAGGTTATTCAAGAAAAATGATAAACATGAGAAACATTCAGTCATTAGTTTAGGGGTAAAACAGGGACTTCTGTGAGTGGACCATGGGCAAAGCAGTGAAGATATTACATTTCTGCCAGTCTATGGTCTGCTGTCTGATAAACAGCTCCACCAGTCTCTGGTACCGTCTGATTGTTGCACTATGGCGTGATCCTTCATGTCCTGTGCTCATCTGTGAGTGTGTGAGAGGAGCACAGCCCCTCTTCTAAACAGAGACAGACACAGGAAAAAACTGGAAAAGCAAAGTAGGATGGTCCATGTAAATCTGTGAGGTTCTGCCAAGTGATGGTTAAATGAAGCATAGGGTGTGCTGCTCATTAGGTTCCCACAGTGGGAAAGCAGCTATAATGTGCAGCTGGAAGTATGTGTTGGGTAAAATTATTAACAAAGTTATACTCTGGGATTGGTTCTAACATTTGATTGAATTAAGTACTTATTTAGTAGAAGATTGACACCATGACTGTTGTTTATTTAACCTGTGTTCACTTTGTTTGTGTATAACTATTCATCATACTAGAAAAGGAATAGTTAAGATTATATTTCAGAATACATAAGTTCACATACTTGCATGTCACAGATACGTTTTTGTAGTTACTTTTCACCCAATTATATGTTCACTAAAATAATGAAAAAATAAGTAGTTGTCAGGTCCGTTCAGCGCGACCTGCCTCTCTCTCTCCTGCTCGCTCTTCTTGCAGGATCAGCACCTCAGCTGTGTCACATTTTGTACTTAGTGACTTGTGGGTTACCGTGCACAGCTGGGGCGCATTATTGTAATCACCCTCCTACCTTATTTATACCTCTGGCAGATGCTCTGCCATCGCTGGAGCATTAACGTGCATACCCCGTAACAGCCCTATTGTTGTGGTATGTAATTTGTACGTCATTTTGTTTTCCACGCTGACAGTTCCTGTGCTGTGTATCGCATTTTGTACGTTGGTTATATGTTAAGTGTTATACGTCCACGCTGACAGTTCCTGTGCTGTGGATCTCTGAGTTTGTTTTTTTTTTCATGTGGTTAGCTAGACGTTCTTTTGTTATCCACGCTGACAGTTCCTGTGCTGTGGATTTCCCTTTTCGTCCGCCTGTCCCCTTGGTTAGCTTGTCTATTCACCTGTCCGTCCTCATTCTCCTACTCTCCTGGTTCCTGCTGTTAGCCTGCCTACTCCCCTGGTTGTCCTGGTCTTCTCCACCATCTCTACTCCACCCGGATTGTACATGTACATGGACCCTGTTATGTTGTTACTTTGTATTTTTGCTCCATTAAACCCTTTTCTTTTCACTAGCACCTGGGTCTGCAATCTTGAGTCCTACCATAGTGGACAAGCCCACAGGCTTTCATTAGATTTGTTGCCTTTTTGGCTTATTATTCCCTCTGAGCTTTGAAGCCAGGGGAGTTAGGGTTTGATAAGATACTAAGATTTACACCAAGGTTATAGTCAGATTTTGGCCTAGAAGAAACGGCTGCCTGGTAAAATAGCTATTTTCACACAGGCAGTGTCAGGTCTTCCTCCCTCTCTAGGTAACTGTCTTTATTCATTGGAGCAGAAGGGACCTTGGGAATGGATGGATGGACCAATGGAACAGCACGAGAGGCACCAGGTCAACCTGCTTTTGCACATTTCAAAAATTGTATAAAAGATTGGGTTCCAGGAAGAAAGGCATTCCTCTGTCCCGAAGTCAGATTGAACAGTTTTGCTGTTTAGGGTCAGGGCTTCAGATAGAGACGGAACCCAGAGCTCTGTAAATTGCTTTATTCGGTAGTCTATTCAATTGTGATAATAAATGTTTAAAAGTGATACTTGACTCCGATTATTCTTCATAAAAGAACACGCGGCACATGGCATCCTTGCCGACAGACTACTGTGCTATGAACCAGATGTTGTTGCCAGCTTGGTTAGATAACGAGCACTCAGATCTCTGAAAATGTCTGAATTCAAAACAAAGTTGGTGTTACTCGGATAGACTGACCACATATTCCCAATGTAAATGGTTCAATTCAATTCAGTTTTATTTGTATAGTGCCAAATCATAACAAAAATCATCTCAGGGCAGAAATTATTATTATTATTGTGAAAAACCCAACAAATCCCCATTGAGCAAGCACTTGGTGACAATGGCAGAAAAAAAAGTAAAATCTTAAATAGGCGAAATCCCAGTCCAGATGAAAATGATAACAGCTTGGAGCTGGGTTCAAATTTCTGCCATCAGGCTCTCGCCCGGCTGTCCCTGCATAGACAAGAGCTTTCCCCAGCTCTGGGCCATCGCCTCACTGGGCTCCTTCAGTCTTTCTCTCCCGCAGCAGGGTGGACTGAGTGACAGCATTCGGCTTCCATTGACAATGAATAGGCAGCTGTCGCTAACCCGGTGATTTGTCTTCCTATGTGCTCGGAGTGCTTAGAAGTGCAGCTACGCACCCTGGCCATTAGGGGGCTCACATACGGTCTAATTGTTCTGTGGGTCATAAAAATGTCATCAAATTTCATTCATTACTTTTTGCATTATGCTGTTAACAAAACAACCAACCAGCAAATGCTGGCTAAAACATGACCCCTGCCCTTGACAGAAATAATTATTCTTCACCATTCTGAGTAATTGGAAAGGTTAATGACAGTATGTGGGAGCTTCCTTGTGGCGAAGGTGTACGACTGCGCTACAGAGCACTTGGAGTGAAGACAAATGGAGCTAATAAGTGAAGCAGGAGGCAAATTGTAAAACAGACTCTAAAGTCAACTTACACGCAGCCAAATGGTGTGACTTCTGTGTTTCTATGAAGGACTGTTTTTTAGTCTGCACGGGACATTTATGTAGCCATCCGTGGTATTTAGCAGTTGCTCAAGTCTATCATTTTAATAATTTTCAAACAATAGACTGATATCCGTGTGATTATTAATACTAGGAACAGGTTTTCATGGTCAAGGGATGATATTATGAGGGTCAGGCTATCATGGGAATATGGCATTAAGGGGACTGTAATCTGAATTGGTGGAGGTCAAAGGTCACGGGTCAAAGTGTTTATTTGTCATATGCACAGTTAGGAAACATGTTTCCCTGTACAATGAAATTCTTACTTTGCCGTCCACATGAATGCCACATAATACAAATGAAATATAAAGTAGATGAATAAGTAACACAAAATCTAAGGCACTTTAAGCAGCAAATGTAAAGATATAATAAAAATATATGAGAATATAATAAGAGAATGTATGCTACATGGGATCTGTATGTGCAGCAGTCAACAGTCAATGTGCAGTTATGCAGGTGCAAACTGAGAATGTAAACAGTACAGGTCATCAGTACATGATGTATTTCCTGGTAATAAACTCCTCAGCTGTTTAGGAGTCTGATGGCAGAGGGAAAGAAAGAGTTTTTCAGTCTAGAGGTCCTGCATTTCACACATCTTAACCTCCGGCCAGAGGGTAGGGACGTAGGTAGGTTTGCACTATCTGAGTACTGTGTAGTTTTGCATTGCTACACTCAGAATTTTTGCAGTAAAACGACTTTGTAATTGTTCTTCCAGAATTTCTCCAAAACACATTAGAGGAGCATTTTCTTCTGGAGTGAAGAAAGTGAGTGGGTTGACACAATTACTCGGTCAACCATGTGTTTTTTCATTTGGAAAAGTCTTTAACTCACCCAAAATTCATGCTAAATAAGTCCTGTGTAACAGTTAGACAGCTGACTTCATTGACTAACTAAATCTAATACCAATAAAGAATAACAAATAAAATATTGTTACAGTTTTTCATCAACTAATTTTGCATTTTTATACAGCTAGTATTTATAGCCTGCACTTAGAGTTTACAGTTATTGTTTTGCAGGTTTAGCAAAGCAAGTGTTTAATTATTCACCTACATCGTACTATTTCATTGAATCCACAAATACATAAGCATTATTATTATTATTATTATTATTATTATTTTTCACAGTAATGAGTGAAGTTCCATTCTATGTCACAAAGTGAGCCAAACCTGCTACAGAGTAAAAGTAAAATGTAAAACACAAAGTGAAACATCGTTGAAGACAAATTATTAAAAATGTAGCCTGGAGTTAAAGCAGTCAGCCTTGTGGTGTAACGTTTGGTCACAGTGAAGGATTTACAGAAAGCGCATGGCCACTGCTGCAGCAGGTATAGCGCTACTTACTGTACATAACATGGTATTATGGTGACCTTGTGCAGCATAGTAAATACAGAAGTATCCATCAGCCAGTTTAGAACAAGCTTTGGTAACCCTTGATCAGTCAGAAACATAAAATACACTGTTCACCACTTTATTTTAATCTTGTTCTCCAGGAAACTGAAGCCGGTGAAGATGTTGAGGTGGTGCACCACCCATCAACTAGCCAGCTCAAAGATCAATGTTTCTAGTCTGGGAGAAATTTTTTGTCTCAAGCATAAGAAGAATAAATAGGTAGTAGGTTGTTGTAAGGTATTGTGTTACAAATTGTAGCCCAGATTCTTACTTTGTTCTCTCACTTTCAATTATTCTAACAAACCTCACAGAGAGAACTGACTAACTTCAAACCATTTACATCTCACTGTTATATTGGACCCCCCCCCCCTTTTTTTTTTTATAACGTGAACATAAAACAAGCAGAGACAGACAAATAATAATAAGAAAATGTAGTTGCTGAGAAATGTGCCAGTTAGAATATAGCTATCATTTTCTGATTTCTGGCTGAAAACAGCTGTCTGCTAATGCTGAGGGGAAACCAGAACAATTAGAAATATTAAAATATAAAAGGAGAGGCTTTTTAAAGCACTGATAATTTGTCATAACCAGCTCTTAGCTGCCACATTGGCTGGATAATCAGCGTTCACAATGCGGTTTTGTTGTGTAGTGGTGGTGTTTGTGTACCTTCTGCATTGCAGCACACAGTATGCTGTTGCTTGTGTGGACTGGGACCTGAACTGAACCCAGGAATCGTACCAGGAACTGCTCTATCCAACCAGCTTTCTGGACTATGAGAAGAAAGGAGAAGAAAAAACATCTTAAATTATCAGTTTTGATAATGATACTCTGCAGTATCAGTCCATCTTTTGCACTGTACCTTCACTGATATCTCTGGCCACCTTGACAGCGTAGAAGGCAGGAAAAATGCCGGTAGCTCCAGTCCTCATGTTGTAACCCTGACACCACAGGTCCTCAGAACGGTTTAGCATTAACACCGGGTCATCTGTCTCTAGATAAAGCTCATCTGCATGCCGAGGGACAAACCTAAAGTCAGGCATAAAAAATGTGCATATTTCAGTCTAATGCCTGGATTTGGACATGCCAAAATTAGTTTGGGTTTGTTCATATGTGTAAACCTGTAGACAGCTCTGTGGCTCTGCTGTCTCTCCACTCCATCCAAGACACAGGAAAACACACCAAATGACCCAGCACCTGAATGACACAGCATTGATGTTATTCACAGTCAGTAGCTTACAGTTTGTCTTTTGTGTCATATTCATCCTTTAATGAAAAAAATGTGATTTGAGTTTGACTGAAATTTACTGAGTGATGTATTTTAATGTAAAATTATAAGGGTATGATTATTCAAAATCATTTTTAAAGTGAACAAGAAAACTCAAATGACCAACACTATAATGCTTAGAGCTCCCATTCTGACTTCTGGTTGTATAAAATTATTAGGGTTGATCACACACCATCAATTTAGGAACCCTGCTAAAAGGTCCTACACCGTATAGCTCAGGTTTGTTTACTGATTTAAAGAAAGCCTGGTGCTCTTCTCATCTTTTGCTAAGAATTAAGGGAAAAACAAACAAAAATATTTTACCATAAATGCAATGGCAGGCTGATTCACAGAAATGGAACAAAATGGCAATTCAGTTTGATTATTAGGCTACACTAGATGATGTGTCTAAAGTCAGGATCGTTGTTCCACTTTATATTTTCAGTAACTAATTTAACTGCTTCCAATGTGTTTTTGAAAATAAAAAATGCTGGTTGATTGAAATATATTTTTAGGCTCAACATATATTAGATTTCTCTACATTTAAGACCTCAAATATTGATAGTGGAAGGCAGTCACAGTGGAAGCTTCAGCTAAAATAAGGATATAGACAGATGACCTGGGACATGAACTCAGTCAAGACTATACCATGTATTTCTTGGATTGTTTTGGTATGCCAGTGCCTACTGATAATCTAATTATATTATCTCTATTAGTCTTCACTGTCTGTACAACATAAAATGACAAAGGTGAACCATGATGCATATGCAGAAAGCAACTTTCACTAGTTACCTGTACAGGTGACATGTGAATATTAACAGATTGCCTACTGTGACTACTATTTACTTTTATTTCTGTCCTGGGAAGTCCCCTGATCTAGTACAGGTGGTGGCTGACAGGAGGATGTTAGCCAAGCTCGGACTCCCACCCCACACGTGAGACTTAGACAGCAAAGGGCAGCTTCACCCCAAGTGCATGATGGTGCATTCTATTATTAATACCTGTCTGTTACTTTTTTACTCTTCATTACTCAGTGCCTTGTTTATATCCTTGTGCTGCTGTAGCATTGTGAATTTCCCACTTGTGGGACCAATAAAGGTTCATCTTATCATATGTTATTTATTATGATTTATTTTTGATTAAACAATGTATTTAGAGAATATACAAACCTGTGGCGCTATTTTGGCTGCTTTTGTTGGCAAAGAGGTTGAGAAACTTCTTACTTCTGGGAGCCCCAGCCCTTCCTCTCTTAGACTCTTCTTCCTCAGAAGTTAGGGTTGATGTTACCTTGGTCTGCTTGCAGATTCTTGCTACAACTTCACTCCTCCTTTTTACTTCCTCCTCCCTCCTCCTCTTCACATCTTCTTCCCTCCATTTCTTCATCTCCTTCTCCTTTCTTCTTTTTTCCTCCTCTTTCCTCCTCTCTTAGAGCAGAAAACAAGCGAAGGTTGCAAGAAACAAGAATGTAAGTATCATGCAAAGAGTAAGAAATTAGAGGTAATCCGGGTTTACCATGCTTGTTAACTCAAGGATTTCATTTATAGCCATTTGAAATTTTATCGGTACCTTGCAACCTGTTCCTCTCCTTCTCATACTCTGGAGCTTCCTCTTCATTGGCAGACTGATAGACTGTTTCTGCATCGCTGTCATCATTCTGCTCGTTGTAACTGTGCAAGCAGTCCTTGAGTTTGACCAGCTCCAACTGAGCATGTTTATTAACCACCAGTGTGTATTTGACAAAGTCATAATTCATCTCTACTGTAGCTTCACTCTTTGGGACAGTCCAAGCAGCTACAAAATTTTCTTGAGTGAGAGATTTGGTGCCATCCACCTCAGCATTACTGTCACCTTTCCTTCTCCCTGTATCCAGCTTTGTACAGTCCATCCCTGTTTTTTCATTATTTGCAAAGCAATGGGTTGAACTGTTCTCGACGTTTATACAGGGAGTTGGATCTCCCTCCCCCTCCTCTTCGCTGATGTGAGGGTTGGCTTGGTGAGACACACAGGGATGCAGAGGTCCTGGTGGGGGACCCTCTGTGTCTGAGCTGAGGGACATTCTGTTGGATCCCCCCTCGCTGCTGGACTGGGAGAGAACAGGAGGATGGTCCTGGGTCCTGTCATGGTTTTGGCCTAAGAAGACAAAATATAGATAGATATATAGAGTAACAAAGTCATTAACAAATTGCTTATAAAAATCTTGAGAAGAAAATGTAGACAAAAGTATTTTGATCTACTTCACTTAGCAGTCTGAATCTTCTCCATCAAAAGTTGCAGTGACTTATACAAATTATAGGCAATTACACCAGATGAGTTAACAGTGATTCAGCTATTTGAAATATATTTCACATATACCTATATATTTCATTTTGGGTTTAGGTGCAGGTGCTCAGTGGCCAATGATTGCGATGACAGCAATTCAATACAATTTTACTGTATTTGTCTAGGCCTATAGCAGCATAACTAAGGGAAGGCTCAGGGTCACCTGATCCAGCCCTAACTATAAGCTTTATCAAAAAGGAAAGTCTTAAGTCTACTCTTAAAGGTAGAGAGGGTGTCTGCCTCCTGAACTGAGACTGGGAGTTGGTTCCACAGGAGAGGAGCTTGATAGCTAAAGGCTCTGCCTCCCATTCTACTTCTGTGGAATCTAGGAACCACAAGTAAACCTACAGTGCTTTGTTAGGATGATAAGGCTCTACAAGGTCTTTAAGATATGATGGAGCCTTGTCATTAAGGGCTTTGTATGTCAGGAAAAGAACTTTAAATTCTATTCTGGATTTTTGTCAGGTCCGCTTGGCGCGACCTGCCTCTCTCCCCCTTTCTCTCTCCGTCCTCAGCTCGTCAACACAGCTGAGGTGCATCACCTCAATCAATCGGGCGAGACCCCCCTCTGAGTGCCCCCCCCAAGGAAAAAAAACACTAAATTTTGCACAGTGATGTTTTACTGTAACAACATAAGACAAACTTCTTTCTCAATTGCACAAATTTATCAACAGAACATTTGAAAACCACAATTCTGCACAAAACAGTATAAGTTATCAGAACTAAATATACTCTGTATACAAAAAGTTGTCAAAAATATGTACAATCAGAATACAACAAGAGCAGAGAACAACAATAATATAAAATATTATATTTATTATAAAAGAATAATATACAAATAAAATATAGAATAAATATTCTAAATAGCACAAATCCTTCATCACACAAATCACACTAAAGAAAATCTTATTACACTGCACTAAAAACAGAAAACACAAACTAAAACTAAAATCGGACCTTTCTGGCCTTCCTTGATGCAAAATCATCAATAATGTCATCATATGAAATCTGCTCCTCTATTGAGTGATTCATACTCATGATAGCAAGGCCAGTGAGCCGTTCCTGAGACATGGTTGACCTCAGGTATGACTTGATCAACTTCAGTTTTGAAAAGCTCCTCTCTGCTTGAGCCACAGTGACAGGCAGAGTACGTACAATCCTGAGAGCAGTCCAAAAGTTAGGGTAGATCTCTGATAGATCCTTATCTTGCAGAAAAGCGTTGAGCTCAAGGAGGCTCATGGTTTTTGATGGCAGGTGAGGAAAGTTCTTTATTTCCCGCACAAGCTCTCTACTGTCCAAATCAGAGTGCCCTTCAAAGTGCAGTGTTGTGCCTAGTGCATTGCATTGCTCTGCCAGCTCCTCATCTGCAAGACTTGGGAAATTTGTCAAAACTCCAAATTTGTTTTCCACATTTTCCAATGTAGTAAACCTCTCCCTGATGACTGACATGGCTGCATCAACAACAACATTGAAGAATCCAACCTCCAACTTCCTAAGGGCATCACTGAAAGGCTCATCATGTGATTCATTGTGGACCTCAGCCTTTTTTGTTTCAAAACAGCCTCCACATTTATTTCTTCACAAATGTCTTTGGCCGCCATCTGTGCAGTCACAAAGCTGCTTGCCCTGTAGCTCTGGAGACCTCACTCAGTCTTCTTCAAAAGACTCACAGCTAGGTCCACATGCATATTTGGAGACTGCATAGGTTTGCTGACATGCTGTATTGCAGATAGCATGTCATACGAAACAACCATGCAGATGCTGAAGCGGTACGACCCCACCTCCTCAGACAAAGACTGGGCCTCAGCCTTTATAGCAGGGTCTTTGGTGTTGTCTCTCACCTCAATTAAAGCCTCTCTCACGGCAGCTCCCTGGTACCTGGGCTTGACACTCTTGACCTTGCTCTCTCACCTTGTTTCTGACCACATCATTAAGGTGATGCTCACATGGTTCTTCAGTATGGCTCATCTTTGGGAGGAGGCTGAAAATAACGTGTAAAGATTTTGCAGGACACCAAAGTAACTCATAGCATCAACAGATCTCTTAGCGGCATCACACACAACTAAATTCAATGTATGCACCCCACATGGCACAAACTGAGCTTGGGGATTCTTTTCTAAGAGCCTATGATTGTCCTCTGCAGTCTTCAAAAAGAATTCCCAACTCCTCAAGTCTCATCAGGATCATGGATGTCAATTGCTGGCCTGTGGACTCCTCTGCCTCCAAAAATCCCATAAAATGTTCCCTGATATGGGGCTTCTCCATCAGTGACACCACTCTAATGACCACTGACAACTGTTGTGTGGCTTATATCTGGGTTGCAGTCCAGAATTATTGAAAAAAAACTTTGCCTGCTTGATGTCATCCACTATAGCCGATATGATTTTGCTGTTCATGTTAGGGTGATTTTTATTTTTAGATAGAAATGAATAAAATTAGTTAGGGTTTTTTATTATATAGCATATATAAGTTTATATATTTTAATCTCACAGTTGTGTTTATGTTTATGTAGTTACATATCCACATATCACCCTATGTGTTCACTGAATCACTGGTCAGTATTTACTGTGTTAGCCAACTGGAGCACTGTTTAACATCAAGGGGGACTGGTTCACTAAAACACAGACTCATTAGATTTACAGCTTTAGCAAAGAGGGTCCACAG